TCTCTGAAATTAATTAAAAAACACTTTTTTTTTACAAATAATCAATTCTAACCACAAGCAAACAGAATATGGACGATTAACTTATAACTCTCTAACTTAAACTTTGTCCCTTCTTAAACCCCCTACACACATATACACTCAGACACAGTCAAATCAATGTTATGGTTAGATGGAAGAATTAATTAGGGGAACACAGTTCAAAAGCATCAACCCAGAGAATTTGATAGCGTCCTTTATCTTCCTAGAGTCCTTCTGATCTTCCTCATTCCAACTCCCCTCAGTTATATTTTACTGAACACACAGGGTGATTGGCACTCTAATTCTTCAGTCTCTCAGTTACTGGTCAGAGGCAATAGCTTATAGGCAAATGATGAGCAAGTATAGCTAGCTATCTTCCAATTATTTATTACTTTACTGCAGGAAGAGGTGTGATACCGTCCTTTTAGAGACTGGCCACTGGTTCAAAAAGAGGCTGTCCAACTGTCCAGGAGTCAGAGAAATGTTATCATGCTGAGCATTCCTGACCCATGCAACTGGTCCTAACGGAAAGCCAAAAGTCACACTTTCTCTGGCTAGAGCTGCCCTAAACACATATCCATGAAGTCAATGAGTCTAGCAATCCTCTCCCACAGATTGACTGTGGTAACTCTGTAAATACAAGACATAATGAATTCCAGTAACTTGTTTTCAAGTCCAACATCTCCTTCCACGGATTTCTTGGTATAATTGCAAAAATATTTTCCACTTTTGGTCCACAATCCAAAAATAAAGGAAAACAAAAAGAGGTGTCATTTATGATATGCTGGAACATTTTAACTAGCCAGCTACTACCTTTTTGTTAATGCATCTCGTATCTCAGTTGCAAATGCAAATTTAACAGTTGACTCGGTGTTCATTACAATAGCATCTACTATATTTTCCCCTATATATTTGCTCCTTAATTTATGTCAAAGATTCCACATTCATTTTCAAAGAATTCACTATCTCAGTAATTTCCAGATTTTCTGGCTCCTCGTTTGCAAAGTGCTCATCTGCTGATAGGTTTAAAATGGTTCTCTCTCTTTTGGAGTCTCTTTCTCCTCCCCTTACAACCTCCCAGCAATCTCTTTATTTGCCCCACCCAACAGCTGTTGTCTTACTGCCTCCCCATAGGTTATTTCTACCTCCTATTCTGTCCCCCTATTCATGTAGTATACAACATTTTCTCACCCCAACACAGTGGAAAAATACCATGGGTCCAGTGAATACTCTGAACCTAACTAACATCACCCCTTTTGGAACCAGCCAACATCAAACCCAGATCTGGATGACAGCAACAACTGGAACAAGTCGACTGCAACACCTCCAACTAGAGTGATAACAACACCCACGTCCATTCATTGGTGCCTTACAGACTTGGTCAATGGTGCCACCTCACCCAACATCAGTCATCCCCCAGACCCATCCTTCGGCACCCACAGACCCAGGCTGACCAAACCCCATTGACACGGCTATTGCCACTGCACTCCTCAATCTGGATCAGGTTGACAAAAATCATGACAGCACACTCACTGCTGTCACTTATTTTTTTCCGGCTGCTTCTCCAATCACAGGCTGTTTATCGACAGTGTTAGTGAACCTAGCAGCAACTAACGTGAATGTGAAACAGCCTATTCTTAAAGTAGAGTGAGAGGGACAGAATTGGAGGTACAGCTTCTCCTGCATACAGCGCAGGGGAGATCCCTTTCTCTGACTGGTTGTGAGGTGATTATTTTTTATTGTACATTTAGGGCAAATTCACATCTATTCTGAGCACTGCATCCATAGCACATGAAGTGTCAGGCTTGATTTTTGTACTTAGGATTTAAACCCACGCTGTTCTGACTCAGAGGCAAGATAGCTTGCAAATGAGCCACAGTTCACAGGAGGTTATGTTACCATCTTGATCTCTTGTATTCAGTCTTTTCAGAGATGCTATTATACAGGAGCAGGAGGGACTCGAGCCTGGGTCTCCTGGCTCCTACCACTGCATCAGAAGAGCTCGCATTTTATCCTCCTACCTGAGACAGATTACTTTTTCCGGCTCTTTGTCCAAATTGAGTACCTCCGCTTTCAGTTTTACTAAGTACAACGTATATTTTTCAGAGTTCTTAAAGAATCTTAAAGCCAGTTCTCATTTCAGCAGAAGTTCACCACTACTGTTTTCAAAGTCAGAAATTTCTAGATGGTGGGAAACCTCATTATCGGTCTGCACTAAGCCATCTTGTGTGGCAAAGGTATGAACAGCAGGAAAGGATTAGCAAGCAGGAAGCATGTTGCAACTGCCAAAAAGCACTTAAGCATTAGGTGATGGAGACACAGAGTTAGTGAAGGCAAAATTAAAGGCAAATTAATAAACAGGTCCCCAGGGGTTATAATCTCCAGATTACTGCCCGAGCCATGTGCTAATTGGCATAGGTACATGAGAATAAGGGAAGTAAACACGTGGCTAAAAGGGTGGTGTGGGTAAGAGGGGTTCCTTTTCATGGGGCACTGGCATCAGTATTGCAACAGGAGGGATCTGTACCGTTGGGACGGTCTCCACCTGAATCGAGCTGGGACTAATGTTCTAGTGAAAAGGGTAAATAGGTTGGTCAACAGTACTTCAAACTAGAAAGTGGGCGGGAAGGGAATGGTGAAACCTGCCCCAGTGGGAAACAAAGCAGCAGGTTAACATCTGTAGTGGTGGATTCAACTACCTGGAAAAATATGAAAGAAATGACAGGGAAGGAGAACTCAGGAGAGGTTATTAAAGTCTCCAGCACAGACACAAATAGGACAGAGTGTTTGGAAAGGGTTAGCAATCAAACACGGGAAAAACGAACGAAAATGAGAAGAGGGAGGGTTAATACAGGACTGAAGGTGTTATATCTGAATGCACGCAGTATGAGGAATAAGGTAAATGAGCTAAATAAAAACTGAAAGAACTGCGGATGCTGTAAATCAGGAACAAAACAAAAACAAAGTTGCTCCATACCACCCAGTTCTGCAATCTCTCTCTATTTAGACTGTATACTGCTTTTCTATTCTTTCTGCCAAAGCAGAGAAGCTCACATTTTAAATGCCATCTACCAACATTTTTGCTCACTCACTTAACTGATCTATATCCTTTCATAAACATTTACCTCTTCATGACAACTTACTTTCTTAACTATCTTGGTGTCATCAATAAATTTAACCACCATACTTTTGGTCCCTTCTTCCTAGTCACCAATACAGTTGGAGTTACATTTTGCCAATGTGAATATGACACAGTTATCTGTACTCTTTTCTTCCTGAAAGTTAATCAGTCTTCCATCTATATATGTAGAACATAGAACACTACAACACAGGAATAGGCCCACTAATGTCTGTGCCAACCACGGTACCATTCTAAACTGGTCTCATCTGAATGCACATGATCTGTATCCCTCTATTCCCTGCCTGTTCTTGTGGCTGTCAAAATGCCTATGTTAAATGTTACTCCTATGTGCTCTTATTTTCTGTATTTGATATTGCACCTAATCAAACTTTGAAATTCAGAAACAATACATCTACAGGTCCCCATAAGGCACCTTGTTTACTATTTCCTCAAAGAACTGTAATAAATTAGATAAACATGTTTTTCCTTTCACAAAACTACATTGACTCTGTTTGTCCCATGATTTTCTATGTATCCTTCCAGAATCTCCTTATTAATAAATTCTAGCTCCCTTACTCACCATCATCAGGAACAATGACAGCAGTGTTCCAGTTCTTTGTCATTGTCCCTTCCTTGATCGAAATGGCAAGCAGGGTATATACTAGGTAGGGGGGCAGATAGTGACCAAAGGCAGCAGTAAATATCCTTTGCCTCCAGTGGAGGTTAGCAGGTGAGATTTGTCACTACCAGTGAACACTCAAAACGTTCAGAGATAGTAGGAACTACAGATGCTGGAGAATCTGAGATAACAAGGTGTAGAGCTGGATGAACACAGCAGGCCAAGCAGCATCATAGGA